AGAGCTGTGAGGATGCCTTATCTAAGCAAGTTTTGCCAATCCCAATCAAGGCAACCTGTCTGTAATGGGAGCACTGGAACTGGATGGAACATCTTGACAAACCCCTTTAAGGTGCTAAATGAAGACAGTGAAGAATACTTAAGTTACATTTTCAGTCATTAGAACTGACATCAAATCAAAGGATCCTCTGAATAAGCAAGAGGACTCCCCACCTGAAATGCTTTGCTATTTCTTAACTGTCCTAAAATCTTAACAAGCATCTGATTAGCTCTGATGCTTAGTCTGCATAAATGTCTGATGGTGACCAAATTCAGCACTGCTGAAAATGGAAGTTCTTTATACACCAGTGAATTTTGTTCTCCGTGAATGAAAGAGGTCAGCTAACTCTGGGGAGGCCCCTCTCCAGGGCCAGGAAGACAGAGGGAAAGGGACAGAGGGGAGAGGGAAAGAAGTCAAGGCGGAAAGATGCAGAGAGTCTGAAACTAGAACAGGAATGCCTCTTGCCAGGTTGGTCAGCTGCTTCCAACACTGCAAGGGGAGACACCTCCTTGGAGGGTATCGGCTGGACTGAGGTTGAAATGATTTCTATCTGGAATCTCAGAAGGAACATCTGTAGGGGCCTGTAGTGGAATCCTGCACTTGGATGGGACCATCAAGCCCATGAACCCTGTTCAGCAGATACAAGAAGCCAGGTGACTCAGAATTCTAACTGGTTGGAGAGAAGGTCATTACATTCCTGAAAGTGTCCAGGGTCAACCAAATGGAGGAGGGTCTGGGCTGGGGAAGCCCAGCTTTCCTTCTCATCGATGAGAAAATCCTGTTGGGCTGACAAGGTAAATCTGATGTCCTGAAGGCTGCAAACCTGCATGGGGGATAGATCAGAATTTCATCCAGAGAGGGATAGAGCTGGACTCCCCTGGTTCAGGAGAGCCACTGGGGCCAGTAGAAACTTGATAGACACCTGAGGAGCTCTGGCCAGACACAGCAGGAAAGCCCTGAACTGTTACTGCCCCCTTCCATAGCATCAATGAAGACATAGGAGTGGGTCAAGCAGATGATAACTACATACACTTCTGTCAGGAAGGAAATCTCTTTCCCCAGGACATTCCTTTATGGATTCAAGAGTTTCCATTCTGAACTTCTGCTCCCTGAGGTAGCAATTCACCTTTTTTTCAGTGAAAAAGACTAAGAAAATGCCCTTCCCTCACTCCATCTGTGGAACCTTCTCTGTGGCCCAGGTTTGAAGCAGATGATGCATGGCTGTGAGAAGCCTCAGGTACCTGAAGGGGTCTCTGAGGCTGAGTCTTGAGGAACTGTCTTGAAGAGATAATAGTCAGAGAAATTTAAACATCATTCTAATTGCTAATATTATTTATTTATGTTACTTCTTTGGCCAGGACATCTCCAATTATTTTGTTTTTATATTGTTATTATTTATTTATTGCTGTGAGCCGCCCCAAGGCTTCGGTGAATAGGGCGGCATAGCAGCTTTCTAAATAAATAAATAAAATAAAAAAAGTGGCCTCCAGGTATCTGAGGAGCTATCAACCCTCCTGCTTACTGACGGAGACAGACCATCAAGCTAAGGAAGCTTCCTTTCCTGATGGGAAGGACCATGGGAGGGAGGGTGTCCAGCTTGTGTTTGGGACTCTGCTGACATCTTTGCTTCGCTTCCCTGCAGAGCAGATGGAGGGAAATGGAGTGGCGGGGGGGGGGGGCGGAAATGGCATTGGTTTCATCTGAGGACACTAACATTTTTTAAAAGTGCTTGGCATTGTCTTATTTCTTTTTCCTTCTCTTTGTTGTCGTTGTTGCTCCCACAGTGGAATGGTAGGAGTCTGCTTCCTACCAGAAGGAAGCAAGAACTACTAGAGACTTCCAGGAGACCCCACATCCTCCAAGAAGTTCAACTGAATCTACCTTTCTGGCCTCAGAGGCAAGGCCTCCCCAGAGCTAGCTGGCCTCTTGCACTCATAGGAGAAAATTCTACAGTTGACATGCAGCTAACTGCTAAGAGGCCAATTTAAAACACATCCAAGATTTTATATCCCTTTCACAAGATTTGCAGATTCTTACCAGTCATATAGCAATTCAGTTCTTCAAATCTCAGTAGAGTCTTCGTTTTGCAATTTGTGTCTCACATTAATGAGTGTTTATGAAAATGCATTTCTTTGGGTCAGTTTTGAATTTCCATTTCAGGGAAAGGCACAGCGATATTCAGGGCTATAAAAAAGAACAGCTTCCTCTGTACAAAGGGAAGCCCACAAGAGCTTTAAGTCTCAATTTACACTCATCAAATTTCACACAGGAGAATGCCTTTCACCTGCGAAGCACAAGTCTGTATACATATACACAGCTGCTGTAATACTGGTATCTGTGCAGTCTATTTAGCGTTCAGTCTATCTGGCACAAAATGTTCCAAGCAAATTCTCATTTCAAAAGCAGCACAATTTTTACACAGTTCTCCTACATACCCCACCAAGAGAATTATCTATTTCCTACAAAAATGCAACTCCCCCTTGCAAACAAATGAAACCCCACCAACCAATAAATATGCAGAATGCGCCCAAGAATAAACAGCTTGGAGGAGCTATGCTTGAAAGAAACGTATCTTCTTGGAGACCAGGATTCATTACCTTTTTTGTCTCTGGTTTTTCTCTCATAGATGTTTGTCAAGATCCCAGGGGAAATTAACAGAGTTCTAATTTTTGTGGGCAACCATTTTGAGGGCACACCTTTAATTAAAGGTGTTACAAACTACTTTTAGCAAGTGCATCTCCCTCATGTTTTTCTGCCAGCCACATGTAAGTTCTGGTCACAGCAGTGAACTCTGAACAGAACAAAAGCTTATCACCTGAAGAGCAGCATGTTGGGAAAATGCTGCCAAACCATTTCATAATCTCAGGATGAGAATGCAAATCATTAACTCCAAGGGTTTTTCAAGACAATTTTTCAACTGGCAATTAAATCTTTTTGTAGAAAAATAAAGAACACGTCTTATATCATGTGAAATGCTACTTAACTAAGAAGTGAATTTCACATTAGATGCTACAGTTGAGAGACCCCCTCCTCCCGCTGCCTGCCATAGAATGTCCTAGACCTGCATCCACATTTTTCAGGACATCAGGGAAAAGATGCTTAAGTCGCCTTCATCCCCCTCTAAAGATATGAGCTGAAACTCTGACTGCACAGCTTCCCATTTTAACAATCCCACTGGACCTCCTATATCACGTGCATTAGGAACTGTACAGGCTTTGGCCTAATTGCCACTCCCCCTCGTCCCACAGCAATAAACCTTGTACCACATTTGCCCTACGTGCTGCAGCCTAAGCCGCAATCACTTGTTGGAGGCTGGCTGCAATGCCTCTAATCCGTTCACTGAAGCTGCTGTCATGTTGAACTGCAAAGAGCATAAGAGGGAAGGCACAATTATACAGGGTTGTGGCTCCAAAGCTTGCCTTCCATCGTGCTGTTCTGCACATACTATGAAATCCAAACTATGACAACTATTTGGTTTTAGATAGAATTTTGTCTTCCTGGGGGGCTAAGCAGGATCCCCATGGTGCTATGAACTATGAGCAATTGCCCAGCCTGTTCACACCCTGTCCTAGGTATTAGTACAGACTGACACAATTTATGGAACCATTTATGTTCTGCAAAATGGCTATTTTTATTGCAAAGTGGAGAAAAATTGCACAGCACTGTCATCTGTCAGTAGAACATTTTCTAGAATTCAAATTAAGCCTAAGAAGCTGGCCTTGGATATGGTGTAATAGATTTAATATGCATATTTTGGAAAATGGGAATTAGTGGAAGAAACTCCTAGGAATGAGCTGTGAGAAGAGGGTGCTAATTTTTCTACCAAACATTTTGTTGGAGGTGGGAAGGGGAGGGAAAAGAGGTGCTGCAAGAGCACCAGCTGGTTTTGCTAACAGATGGCTGCATGGACTCATCTGTCCTGCAGAGCTATCCTGAACTTCCTTGCGATGGAAACATGAAGCTTAAGCAAGGCTAAACATGCCCTTTTTATATACACTGTATCGTGTCTGGAATGTTTTCCAGTCATTCACAATCCCTTAGTCACGGTTCTTGTTTTATAGAAGTTATAATTAGTTGCAGGGAAAGCTAAGACAGGATGCACATTTCCCGGAGAATGCTTTTTTTGATGTGGCAATATAAAATGGAACATTCCCAATTTGCCATCCCCTGGCAAATGTTTTGTTTTAGAATCAGGGGCTTCTTCAGCACTTTCTCCATCCCTCTGATAAAAGTTTCTGTGCAGCAATGAGTGCAGGAATTCATCGTGCAACTCCACACATTGGCCAGCAGAGGGGGAATGAGAGTATCGCATCCTCACTGTTTAGCACACTTCAGGGTCAAAGGAACAGAGATTAAAATTGAAACTTTGCCTTAGGAAAGAAAACAGGGTGCTGGCCCAGCAGTCTCATTGCCCAATCGAATGCCTCCCTCTGTTGAAAGCAAGGGTTAATAACCTGTTCCAAGGAAGGGACCATGAAAATAAATCAGAGGATGGAGGGCAAGAGTTGTATGGTGAATTTTTCATATTAATGCACCCGTTGTTAAGCCACGCCCAAGCCAAGCATGTATTCTTAAAGTTAAAGTTATACTTTTAACTTCCTTATTTCTAAGTTTTTCATCACCTGATTTCTACATTTTTCATGATTTCAGAGAGTAGCAAAGGAGTGAAACAGGAGGGCTGCTTAAGTTTCTTTTTTTTTGTTTTAAGCATGCAGATTAGGCTACTGGGAATGCTGCATGGAGCCTTCCCCAACCTGGCACCCTTCAGATGAGTTGTCTAGACTTGCACCATCACTGATCAGTGCAGCCAGATTGGGGAAGGCTGCCCAACAGATTTAATTATGTTTATAACCAGTATGTTCAGAAAGCACAATTTTAAAAGGTCAGAATGCCTCTCTGCACACAAAAGAACTTGTCATTTATTGAGGTTGCGGAAGAATGGTAGTTGAAGCTTTTCTTACTTTGGCTACGCAGTTTTCAGTCTTCACAGCAGCATTCCCTAAGCATACGGCTTCCTGGTTCAAGCAGAGTCTGGCACAGCTGTTGTAGGTCTGTGAAGCGGAGGGGAAAAGCGGTTTTGGATAAAGTAAGTTTAGTAGTTCTTAGCCAACCCATGTAAATACTGCAGCTAACTCTATTTCCACACTATAACTTGAAGAATAGAAAAAATATGGCCTTCTAGATATATTGCGCATGATGGTCATGCCTCTTGTAAAAGCATTTATACTGATTAAATCCAGAGACATACTTTTCAAGTGCCATGGCAAGAAATATCTGCACATTTGAATTCTTAAGTAAGAAATCAAATGATAAGGCAAAGAAAAAAAATTGCCTTCTGAAGTGGCTAATTTTATGTTTACCTATTACCCCATATTTCCTTGAGACTGTAACAAACTGGAAATGTGAAAGCAGTGAGGTAGCCTGAACATAAGACTGACAGGAAGAAAGAGGTGAGGTTAAGTTTAGATTAAGTACTTTGGGAAACTTCTGCTAGTACTATGGGATTGCCCCTTCTTCTCTGCTATATTGTTTCCCTAATCCCCACCCTAATTGTTCTTTAGAGGTCGGTTGTCCAAAGACACTTCCATGGTCATGTGGCCGACATGACTAAACACAGAGACGCGAGAGAGGCATGGAACACTGTTACCTTTCCCATCAAAGTGGTACCTATTTATCTATTCACATTCGCATGCTTTTGAATTGCTAGGTAGGCAAGAGCTGAGACGAAGCAGCAGCTGCTCACCCTGCTGCGTGGATTGGAACTGCTGGCCTTCCAATCAACAGCCTAGCAACTCACTGGTTTAACCTGCTGTGCCACTCCCTAAAGCTGTGATCTAAAGTAGGCAGCCCCAGACTTTTCCTCCTTTGGCAAAGGCTCACACCCCCTCATCAACTATTACAGTATGTGTCTTCATGTGTAATGCCAGTACAAAAGGGGACAAACCTCTTTTTTCCATGTTTTTGTTTAGCTAGCAGATCTAAATTAGTTTAATAAACGATTACTAAATTTACTAACTTTTCACTGAAAAATATTTCAAGGTAGCCTACAGAAAACAAAATATAGAAACAATTAAAATACAGATCTAAGTAAAAACAAAATCAACGAACAGCACTATCCCAGCTCCTTAAAAAACAAAACCAACAGCAAGAATGTTTTAATCTGTCTGAACATCAAAAGGAAAGTTTTCACAACTTGCGAAGTGCATCCTGCAGTAGTCCCCATTTCCTTCTGAACAATAAAAAAGCACAGTCACACAAACCATCTGTTGCTGCTGTGTACTTAATGGTGATTGTGGAGGCTTGAACAATTGCTTTCTTAATTTAGGATGGCACCACCATGATAAAGTTTGAGAAACTGAAGGCTCTGCTTGCCACATGGAGTTAACCTGGGTTTGGTCACAAAAGTAACAGCTTCATCTGGCTCTTTAGGGGAAACCTTCTTTATTTAAAGTTAGGAATAATTGCTCTTTGCACTGAACCCAAGTGTCCCCCATGTCCATTATACTTCAAATGTTTGTCATGCTAACAGACAATGAGCCAGAAATTAGCAGTGAATGGAATATTGTCCATAAATTAATATTTGTACAAATTTTTATAATCTGTTATATTTGGAGTGTGGTGGGTTTTGCAACACTCTACCCCAAATAGCTCCGACTCACAAAACTGACTTGTGGCTAGTGAAAAAAATGATCTCTTGGGAATTATACAGTGTCTTCCTCTGTGGGGGATATTATAGTTACTGTACTTTTATATACATTTGAAACTTTGGAAAGTATTACATCATCAGTATTTTGCTTTTCTTTACCATGTTTTGATAAACTTGTGCATTTTGTCTTATTTATTATTATCTCATTTTAGAAAGATTCTATCTTGCTTTTCATTTTAGAAAGATAAGTCCCCAAAGCAGTTCACAAAGCCAATGCATAAGACAGTAACAGAAGAATAAAATAACTCATTAAAATAACCATGAGTAGCCAGCGATTCTAACAGTCACAGAAATGCCCATGGAAACAAATTTGTCCTAAGTTGTTGGCAGAAATGCTCTACACCAGGAGCCCACCAGATCTCAATGAGGAAATGAGATGCTGCAACAGAGAAGAAGGCCTTTCACTATGCCATGGCCAAACAAATAACGGTAGACCATGGTATGGTAAGCAAGGCTTCCCCTTCAGAATGTAGAGAGCTGGGCAGCTTAAACTGGGGAAGGTTGTTCCTTGGCTAACCCGGTCCTGACCTTATCAACCAGGAGGAACATTGAATTGGCAGCCAATACAAAACTTTCAGTACAGGAGTCTGTGTGGAGCCACTTTAAAGCTGCTCCAGAGACTGGAGCTAGACCAGAATGCAACAACTTGGCTGTTGTTGGAAATGGTCCTCTTTCTGGATGCAACTTATTTGCAGACGGAACCACAATGGCTGCCAGCTGGGTTGGTTTTAAGGTTCTGATACTAGTAAACAAAGTCCTAGACTTTGAACAGGATACCTGAGAAAGTGCTTTGCTCTTTTACCAACTTGCCTGGTCACTGAGGTCATTGGAGGTTATTCTCTTGGTAGTTCCACATGAACCTGTGACTGGACTGGAGTTCACTAGGTACAGAGCTTTCAGTGTTACAACTCGATTTCTATGGAATTTGCTGCTTCTGGAGCTCAGGTAAGCACCAACACTGTGTTGTTTTTGGTGCTTTGCAGAAGACATCTTCCTTCAGGGAAGCCTTCCTTGCTGATCAGTCGTAGCTGTAGTGTCACCTTGTTTGAATGCACTATTTTAATCTTGTTTTCTGTTTTTATTATTCACCACTGTAGAATCTGTCTAGCTATGGAGTATACAAATGATGAAAATAAAACATAAAATAAAGTAGGAAAACCCACTGAACAATTCAGTGGCCAAATTCTGCAGGTAAATTAGAAAGAGAGATATACAGGAAGATTTGTAGGCCTGCATAAAGCAATGAAGGGACAAAAATCTGCCTACCAAATTTTTGAGTATTCAGTTATTTTCTATCCTTCCTCCACACAGAAGATCTAAAGTTCTTTTTATGTGAAAACAGATTTGGAATGGATATTCTGTGGAAAATTCATAGTCCCAGCCAGACACTTAGGAAGGGTCCTATAAAAAGTCAGACTATTTGTTCATCTTGCCCAGTATTATCTACTTATTTATTTCATTTTTATATCACCCAATAGCCAAAGGCTCTCTGGGCAGTTAACAAAAGTTGAAGGGTAAAAACATATAACAAGAAAACAAGGATCACATAAGAACCATGAAGCAGTGGAATAGTAAGACAATAAAATTATAAAATCACAGCAACTGCATCAGATTGGTACAGAGGTACAGAATAACATGCAGTTTTAAAATTTAAAAAGTGAATTATTGAAACACCGGGAGAATAAAAACCTTTTCTTCTGGTACCAAAAGGAATAGAGAGGAGGCTCCAGGTGTCCCTCTTTAGGGAGCTCAATCCCAAAATCAGGGTACCACAACTGAAAAGGCCATTCTTCTGGTAGGCATCCTCTTTGCTTCCTTTGGAAGGGCTCATGGAAAAGGACCTCAGAAGATGACCTTAGAGGATGGGTAAGTACAGGAAGGATGAGGCGTTCCTTTGGATAACCTTTCCCCAAGTCATTTAGAGGTGTGAATGTTAATACTAGCAGTCTGAATTAGGCCTGGACTTCAACTGGGAGCCAGTGCACCTGGAAGAGGACGGGTGTAATATGCTCATATGGGCCAGTCCCCGTTAAAGCCTTGCTGCCCTGTTTTGAATCAGCTGAAGTTTCCAGACAGTTTTCAAAGGCAGCACCACATAAAGGGCATTAAAATAGTCCAAACTGGAGGTTACCAGGGCACGGATTACTGCAGCTAGACTATGTCTGCCCAGAAAGGGTAATAATTATTTTATCAGTTTAAGCTGAGAAAAGGTGCTGCATGCCACTTGGACTGGCAGTCAGTCTCCATGGTCTTAGAAAGAGATGTTTGCTATTTCCTACTGATTTTTAAAACTGGAATTACCAGTGATTGGATTCAGGACACTGTTCATGCAAATGATGAGCTGTACATGGGTGCAAATCAGGGAAATCGTCTAAATCAGTGGCAACTTTTGGTGGGCTGGGAGCCATTTGTTCTCCATGGACCTTCCTCTCCTTGCAGCCCATGCCCCCCCCCCCCCCCGGTACCATGAAGCAGAAAAGGCATCCATAATGACAGAGCTTGTTTGCAAACTGATTTTGATAGTTTTGCTGCTCCACACATGGCATTTAAAAAAATTAATTTGGGGCTGTGCCAGGAGTCACACATAGTCCGTGGATCATATGGTACTCATCCCTGACATAATCACTGCACTCCTGAATAAAACAATTTAATATACTAACTTGCCATCTACTCTCCGTGGGATTAATAAAGGTTTCTTCTTGGTTACGCCCACATAAACAATTGTTCCAAAGAAGAAAATGTAATACCTTATTCTTAAATTATGTCCACATATGTTACAGCAGGAACCCTCTAAGAAGCAAGACTGCAGTATACATGAAAAATCAGAGGGAGTCCCTCTCCTAAAGCAACATTTTCTTGCTAGTCAGATATTTTTTTAAACATGTTAAAATACTTTCATCAAATCTACTATCCAATTAATCAGGGATAAGTTTTTAAGTCATTTATGGCAGAATCCTATAGCCTCCCATCATTATCTGGGGAAGCCACAGGATTATTCAATTCTGCAACACCAGAGCTGGGATGCTGAATGCTGTGCCCTGCTCCCTTTGCAACTAGCATGAAAAGAACCAAGCTTGGTGCCTCTCCAAGGTTACAAATTGACCTTGGAGAGCAGGAAAAAGGGAGCGCTGGGAGTGGGGAGGAGGCCAGGGTTGATGGCTTATGCCATTTCCAAATGGCAACACAGCCTCCTTCCTCTCCAGCACATCATCTAGATGGCAGAAAAGGGCTTTCTAGATGAAATGTAGGGCATGAGGTATGGCAATGATTAAAATCACCACTGCACCTCACACTGGATGCATGTTCAAGTATGTAAATGCTTGAAGTATGTAAGTATGTAAAAGG